CTAGGATAAATTCACAAGTTCTACTCTCCACACTGAAAGACATTCTGAAATAATGTGAACCGGTATATAAGGACAAGGAAAGGGGAGTAAGGTACTACCTAGCACAGAGACTGTCTCCACTGGTCTATCGTCACTGTCACCAAAAAGCAAGGGTAGAAAGACAGACTCTTCACATCATTTGTTCAGAATATTTTCCATTACTTGCCACATAGATCCGTGAAAAGCAAATCATCATACTGGCATATATCGTACTTGATGGGAGTTAAAATCCCCCCAACTTTAAAGCAAACTCCTCTCATGCCAAATGTCTTCAGTGCTAGACTCTAGCTAGCTATGACATGTTTGTTTCATTTCATCCCGTTACCTTGTGCCCACTATTCTAACAGGTAGCTCTCCTATTCACTCCCTGCCACTCTAGTACTTAAAACCAAATCGGGGGGCACCTGGGTGGCTTAATCGGTTAAGCGTCTGCCTTCAGCTCAGGCCATGATCCCAGGGTCCCCACATCACATCGGGCTCCCTGCTCATCGGAGAGTCTGCTTGTCCCTCCCCTCTGCCCCTTGCTTGTGCTCTCTTGCTCTCTCTCTGTCAAATAAATAAATAAACTCTTAAAAAAAACAACAACAAATCTGACTTCTGCTTGGTTGTCACATTTTTTTCATATCTCCATTCAGGTAACAAAAATACTAACCCGAACAAGATGAAGAGCAGAGTACATTTATTGGTCACTCTGGGTATGAGTATATATTTTCAAATAGCTAACAAGCAGCTTACATTTCTCCTCACTTGTCCCACAGATGAGACTTCATCAGAGGTATATCCAACATCAAAATCTGCATCTGCCAGAGCCTCCCTAACCTCTAAGTCTACGGCCCTACTAAAAGAAAAAGTCTACATTGACATGTTCTTCTCTTCTCATCTAATTTGCACAATCTCTCACCCGTTCTTGAAAATCCAGATATTTGTCCACTCCAACTGAATTCATGTAAAATATCTATGTACACTTTCCTTCCACAGAAAAGTGGTATCATGAGAGGAAACCATGTGCCAGATGTTGGATGTTAAGAATACAGACATACCATAATAGTGCATGGGTATTTACTGTGTACCAGACTCTGTATAGAGAACATAATACTTTGTTCGTCCCTTGCCCTTACGTCAGTCTTTCAGAAGAATCAGTCCTATCTCCAGATTCTCCTCTATGACTACAAATCCCCTCTTGCTCTACTTCCTGCTACACACCCCTACTTCTGTGTTCTTGATGCACTCCACCTTGGAGACCATATTTCTTACCACAGCTTGTGTCATCCCTTCAGCAACGATACGCTCAGCAGTATCAGACATCACGAGCATGATCCTCTCTATTCACATTTCCAACTGACTGTCTCACAGAGCCTACCCTCTTTCCATAGCTGAAGGGATCTTCATTTACTAGAATCAAACCGGGCTGTCAGAGTCCAGCACTAATCCTCCTCCTACACAGGAATGATCTGATCTCCACAATCAGCACACTTTTAATTTTTCCCTGTGTCAGTGTTTCTATGGCATCTGGTATCACTATTACAGCATTTAACACACAACTGCCTCAAAAGCACAGTTATGTACATGTCTATAATGTCCATTAGGTAATCGGCAGAGAAGGAGAGGTGGGAAGTGAGGAGAGCTGCTGAGGTTTAAAGTTGTCTTTCATGGGTCTGGTTTAACTTCACATAGTCTCAGGTTCTCTATCTATACAATGGAAACAAGATCCCTACTGTGTAGGGACGTCAGGAAGACAATTTAGAAAGTAGTTTTCCATATTGGGGAAACATAGAAGGGGCTGGAAAAATGGAAACTGCCTGAAGCAGTAGCGTGTTTGCTCCGAATCCTTGAAGGCAGAGCTGTTACCTTCTAGAGCACCAAGCCAGAACTTTGTTACATTAGTATTAACTAACATCTGCATAGCGCTTTACTAGAGATGCAACATATTTCCATGAACTGAAAACTGAAATGCATTTATTCACTATTAAAGCATCCTTCTAGAGGGGGATTTTAAAATAAAAGAACTATTAGAGGCCACTGTGCAAATCTTGGCTTCTTTTATTTTTAAACTACATCTTTTTGGATCCACAAAAGAAATGACATAAATAACTCCTTTCTGACCCCACCAGGTCCTCTTCAGTGAAGTTCACTGACATCTCTGTAGTGTTAGTAGAAACATGAGAAGGTGGCAGCTTCTCAAAAGGTTTATGCTTCATTATAAGATGCTGTTATTGATGGAGTAAACAGCATTCTCTACGTCAGAGTCCTAGAAGTGAATATCCTTTGGGGGTTCCCATTCATGTTTTCGTTCCTTTGGAATATTGCTGTATTCTATGGTGGGTTTTAGCTAATTACCTAAAACCTTAATGAGAAGTTTTCATTGAAAGGCTCAGAATGCTCCTTTTCCTGACTAACTTTTTATTCTACCTCTTCCTACAATGTCACGTACTCAATCTACTTTTTCTATCATTTATAGTATATGCCCGGAAAAAAAAAAAAATTAAGCGAGGAACAGAAGAACTTTTAAGCTATAAAGGCTTTTGTTTCACTAGACTAAAAAATTCCTCTTTTGGGGTATTTCATGTTCTTTTATTTTCTCTGAGGTATAAGAGAGAGGCCTAGGAACCCTAATAAACAAACTTGGACCTGTCTATTGAAGAAGGGATATGGCACATTTTTTAGATTTTAATATCAAAACCAGAAAACTCCTAATCACTCATATAATGATGGATGTATCTGATGGATGTAAGAGAAAAATAGTTAAGAACTGAATGAGAACTCAGTAACTATGGATTGCAACTGGCCTTATGTGGCCTAAATACACTTTTAATGTGGTCCTTATAGTTTATAAAATTAAGGGCATTTCACATAAAAATATGTAAGCTTCTGTTTCCCTTGAAAAACTAGAATGTTTTAGAGCTGGGGTGACAACAATCAGCTATAGCAGAACTGGAACTGCCCTTTTTATAGTGGTTTGTATGTTCCAAAGGCCACAATCCACAACCTCTCTCCCACATGGCCCCCACTGGGCCTGCTGCACTCCTTATCTTACCTGTGCATTGGAAAGACAGACACAGGATGGGGCGCCTGGGTGGCTCGCAGTCGGTTAAGCGGCTGCCTTCGGCTCAGGTCATGATCCCAGAGTCCTGGGATCGAGCCCCACGTCGAGCCCCACGTCGAGCCCCACGTCAGGCTCCCTGCTCAGTGGAGAGCCTGCTTCTCCCTCTCCCTCTGCCTGCATCTCTGCCTACATGTGCTCTCTCTCTCTACCAAATAAATAAATAAAATCTTTAATAAATAAATAAATAAATAAATAAATAAATAAATAAATAAAACAGACAGACACAGGATTTTTTTTAAAGGCAAAGAACTTGGATCCAAAAAGGGCTTCCCCATTCACTAGCTCCGTGACCTTCCACAAGCTCTGAGTCTTGGGTCCCTCAGCTTTAAACTGAAGATAATTCCTTGACCTCACAAGGTTGTTGTGGAGAATAAAAAAAAAAAAAAAAAAAAAGGAAGCATAGGAAAAGTACTCTGTAAATTGTAATATAAAATATTTGTCATCTTTATTCATTTCCCAGCCCCCTGTCAGTTGCATAAATTCCCTCTACCTGCCTCAGCTATTACTAGTTTCTTGCTCTTTATATTACTACACTCTGTATGGCACAGTTTAAAATCTAAATGAAAAGAATTTGATATATTTCCTTGCCTCATTTAATAAGAGGTAAACAGATGAACAAATATCAAAGGAAAAGAAAATGAACTGTTGAATGTCAGTGGATCTTTACTAGGTCATTTCTGTTCCTAATGAAGGTATGAAATTGGATAGCTGATCCGTTCAAGTGCTGTTTTCAGCTCACCCACCAGGCACCTGAGGCCTCAAAGTAAAACTGACAGCCCAGTCATTAGGGGTACCTGGGAGATAACCTCACCCAGTGCTCCAGTAAAGGACCCAGCCCAACAGAAACAAACAAACAAACAAACAAAAACCCAAAAGAACCTATAAAGCTTTCTCTGTGCCTCCTTCCTTTCAACATTTCAATATAAGCTCCAAAACCTTAGAATCTGAAGAAATAAGCCACAGCACAATTTCTACATCTATACCTATCAACATATAAACATATATGTAAAAAAATAAAACACTGAGGGACCTGAAAGAAAACAGAATCTTCTTAGAAATGAGCAGAGGTGCAGAAAACTGCACTTAAATGATGCAGTAGACATAGAAATGTTAGCAATGATTTTTGTCATGAGTGCTATCTCCTTACATTAGGAATTCACGGAGGTATTCCTGTTCTGGTCAATTTATAACATATCATCCTTGTGTGGGGAACCACAGTTAATTCCTCTTTCACTTTTCGTGTTAAGATAATCACGCCTGAGTGAACTGCAAGATATAATGTGGAAATAGAGGGAAAAAGGGATTTTCACTGGACTCATTGTTCTTTACAAGATCACCAAAATGGGAGTAATTTATGATTCAAGACACAATCTGTTGAAAAATTCATCTGACGAATCCGTTTTAAAGCATACCATCAAGTGCATTACCCCTTTTCTTGAAGTTGAATGAAACCATGCCCAGAATACGTATTAACGATTGCCAAATTACCACATGGTCCTCACTGTGTATTTTATTTTTAAAAATCAAAATAAATAACAGCAGCATTTTAAAAAGCCAGTTATTTCAATAAATGTCCCAAGGCTGATGTTTAAGCAAGTCTCCTTGGCAACCAAGGAGCACTGTACATCTCCGGCTGGGGGAAGGGGAGAAGGCGGGGGAGCAACTTCAAGGTTGGTAGAATAAGTAACGGGAGTAGTAATTGCTCCCGCTAGACGACGCTGGTCGAGCTGCACCGGCTGCATACCCCTGAAATTTCAACTCCGGTCTCGCCCCCAATGGCGCACCAGCAGCCTCCCACCCCCTCCCTCCGGTCCGCAGGCACCTACCCCGAACAGGTTACAAGGAGAGACTGGCTTACCCGATGGGGTGAGCGGTCTGCTGGGTTACGTATGTACCCGAGGCGGCAGCGCAGGCACCGGGCGCTCCCTGATGCACAACGGCTCTGCTTCTCCCCACGATGCTGAGGTTAAGAGAAACCGCAGTAGCTTCGCACTGTCGGTTTGGGGATGCAGTTGTGAAGACAAGATCGCTAGCATGTATGTCTGTGTGTGTGTGTGTGTGTGTGTGTGCGCGCGCGCGCGCGCGTTTGTCAGTGTGTGTGTGTGTATGTGTGTGCCCGCGCGCTCCCCGCCTCTGCCGCGGGGAAACAGTGTTTGCTAGTAAATAAAAAGCAGCAGCCAGCAGGGCAGGTGGCGCGTCCTCGTTCACTCTGCCCCAGGCGGCCCCAGCTGCCAGGAGACGCACCTCGGCGGACCCTGGGGCGGGCTCAGACCGTGAAGCGGCTCCGCCCCCTCCGGCCTCCGGCGAGCCCGCGCGCACGCCCGCCCCCTCCCCCTCCGTCGGCGAGACCGCGCGCACGCTCCCCTCCCCCCACACCAGCCACCGGGGAGGCGCGCACGCTGCGCTTTCCATCCCCCACCCCCTCCGCCCCTCTCCCGACGGCGAGCCAGCGCGCGCGCCCGCTCTCCCCGGAAGTCCCCCTCCTCCGCGCAGCCCCCCTTCGTGCTCTTTGGCACCTGCGCTGTGGGCTGCTGGGTCGCAAGCACAGCGTGGCGCCAGAGCTGCGCCCCCGCCTGCGACGGGCGAAACCCGGGAACCCAACTTGCGTGCTCCCAGGTTCTCTTCCCAGGGCTGGGGAGCAACCTGTGGGAACCGACACTGTGACCACGAGCACTGTCCCTCTCCTTCCGTGACCCTGACCCTACTGACTTGTCAAGTTCACATTGCCCCTATTCTAAGCCGCCCCTTTTCGTCTTCATGGTAGTGCTGAGTGTGATTTCACGGTAACTGAGGTTGGAGGGAAGCCGTGAACCTAAGAAATAAGGAGGGGTATTTGGTTACAGCTAATTCAGCATTAACACAGCTAACAGACCACAGCCCAGAACACCTCCGTTAAATTCCAGGGCCTGACCCACTCTTGTGCCAGTTGGGGGTCATTGATGTCATTCCTGTGTAAAACATGCTTACAATACACAGTTTAGCAAAGTGGATAATTCTAATAGGTAAAAAGATTCCATATTCCACTTTTGCATTGAAAATCTTTGTCCAATGTAGAGTTAAGCCATCAAGTAAAAGAAGAACGAAACTCTAAATTGGGGTAAACTGTATTTTGTAGAAGTTCAGGGTTTAAACTACTACAAAGATAGAATTTCACAGAATGTTAAGTCCTGTCTCTTGCAAGTTTGTGTTCTTCTACACTTGGGCTAGGAACAGCGCCTTGATCTACTTTGCGATGTCCTTAATATTTGTTAGTCTCAAGTCAATGGCTCAGCAGTTTTTTCACTTTCAGACCCACAGGTTTTGTGGGACTGTTTGCTCCCCCCACCCCTTGGGGCCTGACTCTCTGGATTCCGGTCCTTCATTCCCATGGTGTTGATATTTGGACTTTAGGACTCTGGGGACCTACTTAGCTAGCAGCCCTGGAAGAATGACAACTGACTGCGAACATTAGTTGCAGTACTATTCTCTAGAATTTTTCATATGCAACTTGATATTTTTCATTGGGTGTGGTTTTATACCAGAAGATCAAATGGGAAAGCATGTTTAAACCCGAAATACTATCAGTGCTGTCAATAAACACTTCTTTAAGATTCATAAAATATTGGTCACTAAAGTGAATGCATTTAAAATTTTAAACCCATCTATATTGATTGGATTATCTGTTTGTTTAGAATAAACAAAAGGGACTTACTAAAAATAATTAAATTGAAAGAACAAAGAATATAACTGTATTTACATAGGGAAAAAAGTCTTTACGCCACCAACTCACCATCTGTGTGAGGGTCTCTTACTGTCCAAGATGGGTCTGTCTTGCACATCATAAGTAGTCCTACCCACTAGCACAATGCCAGTCACATATTAGGGGCTCAATAAAAATTGCTGGCTGACAGATATTGAGGAATTAAATAAGCAAATATATGTTAAGTGTAGAGTAAAATATCTAGCTCAGAGAGGGCTTTTTTCTCCCCTAAGGGACTCCTTAAGGTTGATTTAAAGTATAGATTTTTTTAAATTAAAAAAAAAACTTTTATTTCTCTAAAATAAGGGACTCCATAGTTTGTTAGACAACCATCAGAACCCAACACAAATGTGTATTCTGGTATACTCTGTTACTAGAAGAGCAAGTAGATTTTAGGCACTATTTCTCTGCTTAGTACCGTTATATATGGTCGTTTTCCTCATAGAGAAAATAGCTTAAAACAATGCTTCCCCAAATCTGTTCTTTGAAATACTAGTCATTTGTTCAACAATTTTTTTTTTTTGAACTCTCAGAATGTGTTAAGCAGTGTAATTGGTGTAAGGCTTTCAGTTGTCAATAAATAGGCATTGTCCCTGTTTCAATGTAATGATATTGTGAGAGATAAGCTAAAGAAAGAAAAACATAAAGTATGGGTCCTTTGGCTGCAAAGTGACAAAAAAACTACTCCAACCAACTTAAGCAAAAAGGAATTTGATGGAAGGATAACAGGAGTTCTAAGAATCAATGGGCAGTCAGCCCATACAACCAGGCTCAGAAGCCTGCAGGAGTCAGAGCAATTCCCAAGGGCACAGAAGCCGTGATAAGAAGATCATGTTGGGGCAGAAATGTCATGATCACGTGTCTTCCACTGCTGCAATGGGTACACCCGAGTCTATTGCTCTGTGATACTCCCAAGGTAGATTCTAGCTTCCAGTTGTCCTAAATTGTAGCTGGGGTAGGGAGGGACCCCTGATCAAGGCCACACCAGATTTAAGACAAGAAATGGACCCTGGGTGGCTGGAAAGCAACATACATTCACAGAGGAAATAGGGAGTCCAGGTCAAATAAGTTGGGGTAACACTGAAAACTGGCTCCCTGTCACATTGTTGTATTACAGACTCTGAGATCTTGCAGTAAAGAAACCTCTTTCACTTTTTTTAACAACTATCCTAGAGTTTGGTTGAGTACAGAATACTTTTTCTTTTTTAGCTTACCCCTTAACATACTTTAGGAAGCATTTTGGAACACGGTAGGTTTTTGTAGCTTTCTCTCCCCCCATCTCTCATCACCTTGCCCATGAACCAAGATGTGAAAGCCTAGCATAAATTTAGTGTTATCAAGCTTTTATAAAATCTATACGTGATGATCAGAGTTGAAACTGTCTCTAGACAGCTCAGATTTCTACCTAAAACTACATCATAAAAGAGAGCTATGGCATAGCTCCTTCTTCAACTCCAGAACAAACACCTGCTATAACTGCCTTGTCCCGTAGCAAATGAGAAAGTAAGTGTCATTTTTAATGCCACACTCATGGTTTTCTGTCACAAACCAGTAATGACATTAAGGAGTCACTGGGCCAGATTTCTAATTCCCATACTTCCAGACGGAACAGATCGTTATTAATTAGGCTAATACCGAATTTTACTTGGGGCTGATATTATCCAGTTTTCAAGCAGAAAATATGAAATAACTCTGGCTAACACCTCAATTTATTCAATTACCTATGGGTACATTTTGTAGCTAATTCATGCTATTCGTCAGGAACCAGTATCACTCAAAACCAGTTATACCATGGGAAAGTCTTTTACCATTGACATTTGGATTGTTTGTATTTTTTGCCACATTCTCTGGTGCCAAGCACTATTGTTGTTTATGTTGCTTTTAGTCTAATTCAGTCTAAGCAACTAGGCACATAATGGACACTTAGTAAATATTTACTGTGCTGAATAGAAAATAGTCCCTACCCACAAGACAGAATATTTTATTTGTAGTACTAAGTAGGTACAAACATAATGCAAAGGGATTCTCAGTCATTATTACAGTAAGGTAAATTTTAAAATAAATTTTTTTTCATGTATCAGATTGGCAAAGATGTAAGAAGATTATGATACCTAGTGTTTGGGAGCATCTGGGTAAATAACTTTTTTTTTTTT